ATATTCCTCATAAATACAGATGCAAAAGTCCTCGACAAAATATTAGCAAACTGAATCGAGCAACACATAAAAAGGATTATACCCCATGACCAAATGGGATTTATCCCTGGAATTCAAGGTTGGTTTAACATCTGAAAATCAATAAAATAGGGGCACCTGGGTGGCTCAGTTGGTTAAGGGTACAGCTCTTGATTTTGGCTCAGGTTGTGAGATCGAGCCCCGCATGTACACACATGCTCTCTCTCTTTCTAAAAAAAAAAAAGAAAGAAAGAAAGAAAAGAAAAAGAAGTTAAAGAACATAAACCACATGTTCCCCTCAATAGGTGAACATATTTGACAAAATCCAACACCCATTCATAAAACTCTGAACATTCAAAGAATACAAGGAAACTTTCTCACGCTGACAAAGAACACTACAAAAAGCCTGGCAGCTAACATCCTACTGAATGGTAAAAGACTCGATGCTTGGCCCCTAAGAGGAGGAATACCACATTTCTGGACTAAAACATTGTACTAGGAAGTTCCAGGCAGTACATGAGACAAGAAACAGAAATAAAAGGCATAGAGACTGGGAAGGAAGAAGCAAAACTGCCTTTATTTGCAGAAACATGATCCCATATGTTGAGCACCCTAAGAAACCCATACCAATTGGGGCGCCTGGGTGGCTCAGTCGTCAAGTGTCTGCCCCTGGCTCAGGTCATGATCCCGGGGTCCTGGGATCGAGCCCCGCATCGGGCTCCCTGCTCGGCGGGAAGCCTGCTTCTCCCTCGCCCACTCCCCCTGCTTGTGTTCCCTCTCTCGCTGTGTCTCTCTCTGTCAAATGACTACATAAAATCTTAAAAAAAAAAAAAAAGAAAGAAAGAAACTCATACCAAAAAAACAAAAAACAAAACAAAAGGACTGATAAACAAGTTCCACAGGGTCACGGGATCCAAGACCAATATACAAAATTCTATTTTGTTTTTATATGCCATTAATGAAGAGCTTGAACGTGACCGTAGCACCATTCCATTTGCAATGGCATCAAAAAGAGTAACGTGCTCAGGAATACGCTGAAGAGGAGAAGTGCATGGCTTGCACACTGAGCTACACCTCATCTCGAAGAGAACTGAAGACTTGGGAGCCTGAGCAGCTCCAAGTCCGGGGACTGGAAAGTTCAATATTATTGATCTGGCAGTTCTCCCCAAACTGATCTCTAGAGTCAATGTGATTTCTATCAAAATGTAGAAATTGGGTTTTGGATTGGGTTGTTGTTGTTTTCTTCTCAGAAATTGGCAATCTGATCTTAAAATTTATATAGAAAGGCATAGGACCCAGAACAGCCAGAACAATACTGAAAACTAAGAACAAAGTTGAATGACTCACACTTTCCAATTTCAAAACTAACTGCAAAGCTACAGAAATCAAAAGGACGTGACTCCAGCATAAGCACGGACACACAGATCAATAGAACATAACCGAGAGTCCGGAGATAAGCCCTCAGCTTCGTGCCCGGTTAATTTCTGATGAAGGTGTTATGATGCAGTTGTAGGTGACGACTTGGCTAGTTACTCAATCAAAACCTAATCTGGGTGTTGCTGCGAAGGCATCTTGTAGAGGAGATTCAGGTCCGAATCAATCAACTTTATGTAAAGGAAATGATCCTGCATGACCTGGGTGGGCCTGATTCAATCTGTTGAAAAGACTTAGGAGCAGAGCTGGAACACCACCCCCGGCAGCTCGGGCAGACCGGAGCCCAGCCGGCCCTTCCCCGTGGCTTGCCCTCATGGAGCTCTCCCACAGATGCTCTTGCTCTGTGGGACTTTAACTGCCTTAGGCATCAGGGCAATTTAACAGAGAAAGGACAGACTTGTCAACAAATAGTGAGGGGACATCCACATGCAGTAAGATTGATTTCAACCTTCATCTCACACCATGCATAAAAATTAGTTCAAAATGGTTCATAGACCTAAATGTGAGAGCTAAAACCTTAAAACCATTTAGAATAAAGCACAGGGGAAAGTCTTTATGATCTGGGTGTAAGCCAGGAGTTCTTAGAAACACTCCAGTCCGGGGCGCCTGGGTGGCTCAGTTGGTTAAGCGACTGCTTTCGGCTCAGGTCATGATCCTGGAGTCTGGGATCGAGTCCCGCATCGGACTCCCAGCTCAGCGGTGAGCCTGCCTCTCCCTCTGACCTTCTCCCCTTTCATGCTGTTTCTCTCTCTCTCGCTCTCTAATACATAAATAAATAAAATCTTAAAAAAAAAAAAAAAAAGAAACACCCCAGTCGGAATCCATGAAAGAAAAAAAACGGATACATTTGATTCATAAAAATTAAACCCTTTTGCACTTCAAAACGCATTTTTTTTTAAAGATTTTATTTATTTATTTGACAGAGAGAGACATAGCGAGAGAGGGAACACAAGCAGGGGGAGAAGGAGGGGAGAAGCAGGCTTCCCCGCAGAGCAGGGAGCCCGATGAGTGCTCGATCCCAGGACCCTGAGATCATGACCTGGCCAAAGGCAGACGCTTAACGACTGAGCCACCCAGGCGCCCAAAACGCATTTTTTAATTATGAAAATTAAGAAAAACCTATAGACTGGAAGAAAACATTTTCCACATGCATCCGATCCAACACCTACGGCCGGGATATATAAAGACCTCTCGCAAGTCGACAATCAGCGAGACCACCCAAATAAAGTGACTGTCTACGCAGCACGTGGAGCATGCTCAAGACCATTAGTTACTGGGAAGACGCAAACCGAAACCACCCCTGGGACGGATGTCACATAAGAGACTGTCAGAGTAACAAGTGCTGGCGAGCATGCGGCGAAGCCTCATCCCCACACACTGCCTGCCGATGGAGTGTAAAATGGTACAGCCACATTGCAGCAGTTTGGCAGTTTCTTTAAAAAATCACACAAAATGTTCTTCGTGTGACTCAGCAATTCTACTCTTCGGTATTTATTCCAGGTAAAGGAAAACGTATGTCCACACAGTTTGGGGCAAGTGTTCCTTGCACAATTTATTCATAACAGCCAACAAATTCGAACAACCCAAATGTGCACAGGATGCATCTGCCACGGAATGAGTCTGGTGCACGGAATGGAACACTCGTCAGCAGCAGAAAGGAAAGCACCCATCCACGTCAGCAAACAGGGCATGGCCAGGCTCCTAGAAACTCCTAGAAGCCATGCCCTATGGCTTGGGCGAACCCCAAAAGCCGTATGCTAAGGGAAGGAAGTCAGACACATAAAGCTAAAAAGAGTCCACGTATTCGAAAAGCCTTTTAGAAAAGGCAAACCTCGGGAGACAGAATGAGCGGTGGTCTGAGGGAGGGGGGAAAACAGGTATTCACTGAAAATAAGCAGGATGGATCTTTCTGGGGTCATGGAAAGATCCTAAGCCTGAATTGTGGCAATATTTGCAGAAGTCTGCAAATTTACTAAAAATCATTAAATCATCCACTCTTTTAAGTCGATTTTGTGGTATATAAATGATACTTCAATCAAGGTGTTCTGTTGTTTTGTTTTGTTTTGTTTTGAATTAAACAAACAGGAAAGCTACAACATGAAAAACAAACTAAGCCAGACTGGTTAGAGTTGTGAAGTTAGGTGGTTGAAGTATGAAGGCCACAAGGCTGTAATTCGGTGGAAAGTTGGCTGGTCATCGCCTGGGGTGGGGAGGAGGAGCCGGGAGGAGGAGGGGCGTGGAGAGTTCCTAGGAGCCTGGCCACGCCGTTTCCTGACCTGGATGGGTGCTTGCTTTGTGATAAAAGTTTGAATATATATTTTGCTTTATCCACTTTTCTAGATGTATGTTATATTAGACAACATTAACCCTTTACAATACCAACCAAACATTATTTGGTTTTTAGGAATAAATCTCACAAAAGTGAGCAAGACCTGTCAGCAGAACATTATACAGGTGTATTCAAACTTGTGAATCAGGTCTCGTCAATCGCATCACAGGGTGACGGAGTCACACTCCCCACACTGTCCTGTGGATCAGTGCAGTTCCAATTCAGATCCTAAAAGATTTTCCAAAGACTTTGACAAAACCAGGGGTGCCTGGGTGGCTCAGACAGTTAAGCTCTTGATCTTGGTTCAGGTCTTGATCTCAGGGTCATGAGTTCAAGCCCTGCATTGGGCTCCACGTTGGGTATGGAGCCTGCTTAAAAAAAAAAAAAAAAAAAAAAGACAAAGAAGAAGAAGAAAAGATTTTGACAAAACCAAGTTCTAATGAAAAAAGCCCCAGAAGAGCCAAGTAACTCTTCAAGAAGGATGTCTTGACCCAGGGAAAACAAACTGACCCTCAGCCGGGAAACTGTCCCACCTGCACAGAGAGAACCTCGGAACCCAGTTTCTAGCAGAATGGGAATTACAGAGCCTCGGGAAAAGAGGGAACTAGTTTATAAATACATCAATAAAATAAAATTTAAAAATCAATAAGAATTAACTATAATGTCTGATAATGCGGAGTCGGATAAAAGGACGGAGTTTAAGTTCGCGGTGAGACGGCCCTGAGCGGGGAGAGGGTGGACTGGCCCTCAGCTGACCACAAGTCGGGTTGCTGCCCAAGTAAGGGTGTAAGTCCTGGGTTCGGGGTATAACTGCCAACCTATTAGGGAGACAGATGGGACCCTGAGGGGGACCACTACCAAAAAATAAAAATAAAGCAAGATATAAAAACACATGAAAAGGCACACGACAAAGTCCCAAGAGAAATGTAAGTCGTCAGTACGCAGCGGCTGTCGCCCACACCCGGATGCAGGGGCCGTGCCGGGGCCTCCGAACTGGACACGGCCCCCTCTGGCACCTACTCGGCCTCAGAGACTGGGGCTCCTGTCCCCAGCTGCCCAGCAAGTGCGGTCGGTGGACAGAGCTGGCCATGCCTCCCAACCCCCCTGGGGGAGCAAGGCTTCTAAGGGTCCCCTCCCCCTGCGCCCACCCCCCGGCCCCGGGGAGTTCTTCCGCCCTTCCCACCTGGGCCCCGGGTCCCCGTGCTTCCCCCCCCCCACCGCCCCGCCCCGCCCCGTGCGGCTTCCCTCGGCTTCCCTCTCCTTCCGGCAGACCTCGGCCCAGGGCCGCCACCGCCGACCGCCAGGACGAGAAGGGATGGCGCGGGGTGCTCCCCCCACGCGGGAGCCTCAGTCTGCCGGGTCTGCGGGGCTCCGGGGGCGTGCTGAGCTCTGCCGCGGCGGGGGGGCGCGCACAGCCCCGCGCCGGCTCAACTAGAGCTTCACCTCTGCTCCCCGAGTCCCCGTTGGCAATAGCTGCGGTCAGCGTCGTCGGCGTCTGTGCACGTGTCCCCGCGACCACGCGCGGCCACCGAGCGGCAGCTCTGAGGCCACCCCAGGGCTCGCGGGAAGCGGGGCTGCGAGAAGTGGGGTCCGCTTGGACGCAACCACTGCCCTCCGGGAGCCACGTGCAAAAGGCGCCCACAGCGCCCGAAAAGTCTTGGGGGACCGAAAACCTGAGAACCTCTGCAGTTGAGTCTAAGGGATCTCTACCTTGAGGCCTACCCCCGTTCGGTGTCCTGAAGCAAGTTGGTGACCAGGGCAGGGGAGTCCGAGAAGTCAGCGCCCCTGTCACCCTGAGAGAGCGCTCCCCACCTTCCAGAGCGTTCAGGGTATTCCACTGGATCAACTCGTTGTGTGGAGACTCCCACCCATCCTGCCTTCCAGGGAGCTACTGGGGGCAGGAGTCCAGGAGAAATCCAGGGAGTCCATGGGATTCTCCTGGCCGGAGGAGCATCCAGGACTTCGGGGCCCAGGGGGTGGGCAGGTGAGCAAGGGCTGGACTGGACAGGAGTGTATGTGAGTGCGACTGATGGCTGCTGCAGGCGCCCCACAGAGCTGAGGTCATATCCAGTGCAGGGGACCAACTATGTGACCCTGGGAGCCACGCACTTTCTCTGAGGCCATCCCTCCTCTGCACCGTGGAGGCTGGACCGCCTGCCTCCTGGGATGCCTGCAATGAGGTGCACACAGCAGGTGCTCAGGAATGTGGGCTGATCTAAGGATTGGGAGGTGGCAGATCGGGGGCTGGAACGGGGCAATTGTTATTGGAAGTGGGGGGCACAGAACTGACCCACCCCCACCAGCCTCCCTCGGCCCCAGGGTGAACCACGAGTGGGGGAGGGCAATGGGGCTAGAGACGGATTTATTAGAGGCCTCAGGCAAATCCCCAGGGTCCCCTCCCTCCTACCGCCACCAACAACCCCAGAAGTCCTGCGGTGCCCACTAGCGTCCATCACGTCCAGCTGCTCCTGTGCTACAAGAGATTCACCCTGGCCACCACCTGCTTGCAGCCAGTGACGGCGAACTCACGGCCAGCGACGCGGTAGTAGCTGAGCTGCGCCGCCAGGAGCTCGGCGCGGGCTGGCTCTGGGAAGAAGCCCTCCCCGGCCATCTCGTCCCGGAAGCAGCTGACCACGTCCTGCTTGTCCAGCAGCAGGAAGGGCACGATGGCCGCCGCCTGCCACAGCGGGTGCTCGCGGACCAGGAGCGCCCGCAGGCGGGCGCGCAGCTCCTCCTCGGCCTGCGCCGCGGCCGCCCCGGCCCGGTCACCGTGGGCATCGCGGGCGCCGTCGGAGCGCGGCTGGGGCAGCGCGCGGGATGCGTTCTGCAGCACGAAGCGCGTAATCTCCGAGCCGCCCGCACTGCTGAGGAGCACATAAATGGCGTTGTGGAAGCGGTGGGCACGCTGCGGCTGCAGGAGGCTATGCAGCTCGTCCAGCAGCGCCGGCGGCAGGAGCTCCGCCTCGTCCAGCACCACCAGCGGGGTCTTCTCCTCCGCCTCGGCCCGCGCCACCACGTCGGCCACGAGCGCCGCCAGCTCCTCCCGGCAGGCCTGCGCAGCGCGTGGCTCGGGGCAGTGGTGGCGTGCGTGGTACTGCACCACGGGCGCGCCGCCCTCGAGCGCAGCGCGGAAGTGGCGCGCCAGCAGGCGGCCCACGTGGCTCTTGCCCACGCCGCTGGGCCCGTGCAGCGCCAGAAGCAGCGCGCGGCTGTGCACGTGCGTGGCCAGGTAGTCCCGCAGCAGCGCCACGATGCGCCCCACAGCAGCCGGCTGGCCGAACACGGCGCGCTGCAGCGCCTTCTCCAGCCCGTCGAGGTCGTAGCGCTGCGCGTTATCGTCCAGGTTCTCGATGGCGTTGAGCACCTGGAAGCCCACAATGGCCACAAGCAGCAACAGGCAGCGCTGCGCGCGGCTCCGGCGCTCGGCGTGCGGCCGGCACTTGCGCGAGGTCTCGGGGTAGAGCACCACACGGCTGCGCCGGCGCCTCTTGCGCGGCGTCCTGGGCTGCAGCTCCGCCGGGCCGTCGAAGGTGAAGAACTGCGGCCGGCCCAGGTCAGCGTGCGGCGCCCTGGAGCTGCAGCCGGGTCTGGGCGTTCCAGCGCCGGAGGCCGGCCCCGTGCCCGGCGGCAGGAGGCGCCGCGTGCGCAGGAGGCACACGCGGCGCCGCAGGCGGAGCACGGCGCGCAGGGGCGCGATCACGCTCGGGCCGGGGGTGCCGGGCCCCGCGGCGGCGGGCTCCAGACTGGGCTGGCCGCCGTCCATGGCGCAGAGGCAGCGCTCGGCATGCAGGTCGCCCTCCCTGCAACAGGAAGATGGGGAGGGTCTCCAGGCTTCGCCCGGCCAACTGGGACCCTTCCCCCGAATGCTCTCGCCCCTCTGAGAGGTCCCCAGGGAGCGCGGCGGGGGCCGGGGGGTCCTGGTGCCGGCCTCGCCGAGCCTGAGTCTCGCCCCGCTGACCAGGAAGCGGCTCCCCGCGGGGCCCCAATGCAAATCTCTCGGGTCCTCCCATAAACAGCTGCGGGCCTTGAGGAAGTGGCGGAGGGGGGCGGGCGCAGCTTATCGGGAAGCCACCCGGCTTCCTGGAGGAGAAGTCGCTGCCAACTAGGCGCCGATTAAGGGTGAAGAAGGGTCAAGGCCCGACCCTGCTGCCCGCCCCCTCCCCCGCCCACAGCTCCGACTGCCAGGCGCCAGGGGCCCTCTGAATCCCAAGTGGGAACCAAGAGAAGCAGAGGCCCAAGCACCCCTAGATTCCAGAGACCTCCCCCACACACTTAAGAACACTTGGGGGGGAATCTGGCCTCGCCCCCACCCCCAAACTGGGAACCCCCCACATCCCTCCAGTGAACACACTGATGGAGTGGCCAGCAGGGAGCCCCCAGAGACCAGAGCGGTGGGGTGGAAAGATGGACAAAAAGACAAGGGCCAGAGGAGGAGGAAAAGAGCCACCGAGGAGACAGAGCTGAAGAAAGGCAGGACAGATGCCCCTGGTCCCCAACCCGCCCCATACCTGCAGCTGTGTCAGGCTAAGCTCCTGCTGGCCCCCCAGCCCACCAAGGAAGGGCAGTCCCCTGCCCAGGCCAGATGCTGGGCCTGCAACTCAGGACACAGAAAACACCAGCTTCCTGGGGAGGGTCCCAGTGGGGTCAGGGCCCTCGCTGGGCCAGCTCAGGCCTCGAGGAAAGCAACACCTGCGGGTCCCTGGGGTGCGTTCGTTAGGAGGGGAGGAAGCTCTGGGGAGGTTTCCGCTTCTAGGCAAAGGAAGTGAGTCAGGGGTGTGGCAAGTGGGCGGGACTTAGGCTGGACGGAGGCGCCAGAGGGGGAGGTCTGTCTGGCTGGCCCAGATCCTCCGGCCCTCCGGTCACCTATCCTCCTCGGCCCTACAACCCTCTTGGCTCATCCTTGCCACCCGGTAAGGCTGGGGGGGCATCCCCTCCCCTGGGATCCCACAGCCCCTTGCATCTCAGTCCGTCCTCCACAGAACCCCTACCTCCCCAGGGACATCTGCTGCACCTGACCCCCCACAGGGAGGGGAGTAGGGCAAGAGCAGAGGGGACCATGTGCCTAGCGGGGTCTCCCCAATCCCTCCCTTCTTCCCCTCCCCTGGCCCCAACCTGGGGGCTCCTAGAGTAGAGCTCCTTTCCTTCACCTCCCCCTCTTCCTCTTCCACAGTCTGAGGCTCCATTCCCTCCATCTCCCCTTCCCTCTTCCCCCATCTCCCACCCACCCACCCCAAGGACAGTTTAGCACACTGGGACAGAAATTCTAGAGCTGGGGGAAGACCCCCATGCACAGCTCAGCATCCTGGTCAGGGAGCAAATTTAGAAAGAACTTAGGCCAAGATGTGGCAGGTGGGGGTTCCTGTGTCCCTGCCGCCAGCCCTATTCCCATCTCTGCACAGATGGGCCTTACTGAATGACCCTCTCCTCTTCCCATTCTGACCAATGGAAGCACCACGTCTTGGCCCAGGCTTGTCTGCAGTCCTCCCTAAGAGTTCATCAACCCAGTGTGCCCAAAGCTAGTCTGGCCCTGTGTCCCTCTGGCACCGGCAGTCCAGAGTCCCTTGGCTGTCCTGCCTGGGGTCCCTCAACCTCATCCTCTTAGCCTCCCTGTCCCTCTCCAGCCTCCCTTTGCCCACACAGGCCCCCCCTGCCCAGTGCCTCTGTAGCTTTCCTGAACCTCACTGTGACCGGCAGGCACGACCTGCATCTGGGAAATATTGGTCATGGGCTGGGGAGTTCCTGTTTGTCCACTAGTTCAGTGCCCTCAGGCAGGGTCACCGCACTGAGAAAGCACTGCACTGCTCCTCGGCATCCTCCTCTCCAGCTGTGGGCCCTGGCTCCCCAGGACCCGCTGCCCCCCTCTGCACAGGGGCAGGTACTTGGGGCCTTGGGCACCTTACCCACCACATGGGCAGGCAGTACTCTCAGGCTTCCCGGGTGTCCTACGACCCAGCCCGAGGCGGGGGGGGCGGGGGGGGTGAGGTCCTGCCTGGCTGCTTCTTAGGGAAATTGGAGGGGGACCACCCCCCAGCACCTGCACCCACAGAGGTCTCCTCCCTAAGAATGTCCCTCCTCCCAGGAACAGGGCCAAGCATCCAGACCATGGCCCACAAAGGCAGAAATGCCCTTAAGAAGGTACCTGCCTGGGGCGCCTGGGTGGCAGGTCATGATCCCAGGGTCCTGGGATCGAGCCCCGCTTCGGGCTCCCTGCTCGGCGGGAAGCCTGCTTCTCCCTCTCCCACTCCCCCTGCTCGTGTTCCCTCTCTCGCTGTGTCTTTCGGTCAAATAAATAAATAAAATCTTAAAAAAAAAAAAAAGGTACCTGCCCACCTGCACGACATCCAACCCTCAGGCATGCCCAGGAATAGCTCATCCACTGGATTTACCCAACACCTTTTATTTACATAAGCGAAAGTCTCACTGTGCAACAGCTCGCACTTGACCAAGACGGTGCAGCTGAGCACACCGCTCCAAGGGTAAACTGAGGCAGCCACTCCTCAGCCACGCCTGCTACACGGGGTGCTGCTGGCCAGGGGAGAAACAATTCGCTGCCTGTGGGGCCTGGGTTGGCCAGACCATCCACTGTGAAACACTCAGGAGCTCCTCAGAAGAAGCCAGGTTCAACCTGCAGATGATCGGACCCAGCAAGCCACATAATTCTGCCAACTGGTGCCAACCGTGCTGGGCCCACCGCTTCCCTCAGGCCTGGGTCCCCCTGCCCTCTCCCCACGGAACAAGGTGGCTTTTTCTTAATCCCAACTGCTGCCAGTCTGCCTCTCCTACAGAAGTGGAAACCCACAACAGGAGGCAGGAATGAGCCAGAAGCTTTCCACAGCCTGGGAGTGAGTTCAAGGGGGCAGCTGGGCACATCAGAGCCAGAGCTGTCCTCCAAAGAAGCAGACAGGGGCCTACGAGGAGCAAGAACACAGGTCCCAGGATCCAGGTCAGGGTGGGGCTGAGGCACAGCGGAAGGGTGCCCCACGTGCAGGACATCCGGGGGGGGTGGTGCTCAGCTCCATCCAGCCCAGCCCCATGAGCAGCCAGTCTGCCTTCAGGAGAGGTGGGGTCCCTGACACTCCAAGTCCAGGGGAGCTCCTCCTGGCCAGCCAAGGTTCCAGACCCACCAGGGGCCCTGCCCAGTCCTGAGCAGCCCCGGTGAAGCCTCAGAGCCCAGCCGGAGCGGACACAGTGGGGAGGGGCAGCTCCAGGGCCGGAGTCTCTGTGGCCTGGGCCGGGCTGGGCTTTCGGTGCTCCAGCTGCTCCAGTTTCTCTCCGAGCTGAGAGTAAAGTTCCTTCACTGCCTCTCCACTCTGTGGGGGAAAGTGTGTGGCTTTGGGGTGGGCCCCAGGGCCACTCGAAGCAGACCCCATGGTCACTCGGGACACGTCCACGCAGGGCACATGCACACAAGGAGAGGGTCAGGCCAGCACAGGCCGAGCACCGGGGCACCCACCTGGCCGGTGGGCTCCAGCGCCTTGCGCAGGGCTTCCAGCTTGGACGGGGCCACCCGGTGGTGCAGGTGGATGAGGAGCCGCAACACATGTCGCTGCACACTCTCCTTCCTGGAAGAGGCCACGGCAGCACTGCAGTGACCCAGAGCCGCCTGGCCCAGCTGGGCCACACGCCCTGCCCCCGCCCCCCCCCCAGCTGGGCCACACGCCCCGCCCCTCCAAGCTGTCACACGCCCCGCCCCGCTGCCCAGCTGGGCCACACGCCCCGCCCCCGCCCCCCCCAGCTGGGCCACACCCCCCACCCCCAAGCTGGGCCACACGCCCCGCCCCCGCCCAGCTGGGCCACACCCCCCGCCCCCACCCCACCCCCAAGCTGGGCCACACGCCCCGCCCCGCTGCCCAGCTGGGCCACACGCCCCCACCCCCGACCCCCCACCCAGCTGTGCCACACCCCCTGCCCCCAGGCCCACAGCCCCGGCAGTGCAGACACAGTGGGAGGCAGGCACCTGGGCGAGGCTGTGAGGAGAAAGCCGTCAAAGAGGCTCCTGCAGAAGTCCTCCAGGGCGAACTCGTCAGCCAGCAGCGCCAGGTTCCCCATGAGCAGGTGCAGGAAGATGTCACCAAATGCCAGGTCGCCAAAGGTCTCCACTGCAAACACAGCAGGGGTCAGCGCTGCTCACCCTGCCATCCCCGTCCCTGGACCGGTGGATGGTGGGGAGGCCGCAAAGCAGCAAGGTCGCCTGAGGACAGGGGGCCCGGTCTTCCTGCAAGCCAGAATCAGGGGCCTGCACAGGCGAGGTGGACAGGGCAGGGAGGCGGCCAGGGGCCAAGACCTAGGCAGTGAAGCAAGGCTACAGTTCGAGGACTGGGCTGGGCAGGGCATGAGAGCCCGTCATCACTGGCTGTGACCCATGGCCAAGGGACTCTGGATTAAGTGGACTCCAGGAGAGAGAAAAACTGAACAGACCAGAAAGCAAAGAAAAACCCAGGCAAGTGCCACGGCACCAGCCCGTGAGTTCGACCAGACTGCTATCCGCACGGCTCTGGAAGGAACACAACAGAAGAAAATGACTTCATGCTTTGAAGCCAGGGACTCCAAAACCTCAAAGAAATAGCAAAGGTGACTACCAAGGAACCTCACTGATAAGCAGAGACAGGAACGCCTACGTGCACAGCCAACGGGGTCAGAGCCCCAGCTGGAGGGCAGCAGGCCACAGGGGGACATGCACGCGGACAGAAGCGCTATACCAGCTGCTCGAGAAACGCCCCAGGGCACTCTGTGACAGTGGACCCGGCCAACACCAGCGGCACCCAGAGCGCAAGCTGACCCGGGCGCATCAGATGCAGCCGGGGCGCGCTCCTGCCATGCATCTGAGCGGACAGGACACGCAGGCAGGCCCACAGTCACTGCAACAGGGGACACTGCCCACAAAGTCCCAACAAACCCCACAGACCCTACAGACCATGCGAAACCCGAGAGGCAACAAGGAAACACGAGAGTCGGAAGTGAGACACTTGTTTGAATCCTGATTTGAGCAAACTACTCGTAGAAGAATGTCACCTGGCAATTGGGGCATCATGGCCACCAGCAGCACCTGGCCCCATGTGTGGCCATGGCTGCATCGTGGTTTCTGTAGAGACACCTGCTAGGTCCCTCTCGGTTGCAATTATGTCCAGACCGTCACCGCAGGCCCCCATGTAGGCAGCTGATAGGCACCAGGCTTCACTATGCTGGGCTCTTTACTTGTGATTTCATCAGAAATCCTCACAATAAAAAGCTAAAATATAGGGACGCTTGGGTGGCTCAGTCGGTTGAGTGTCTGCCTTCGGCTCGGATTGTGGTCCTGGGGTCCTGGGACTGAGTCCCACATTGGGCTCCCTGCTCGACGGGCAGCCTGCTTCTCCCTCTGCCTGCCGCTTCCCCTGCTTGTGCTCTCTCTGACAAGTAAATAAAGTCTTTAAAAAAAAAAAAGCAACCACAAAGGAATATTTTTAATTGGCATCCATTCTTACTAGCACCCACTAATGACATAAAGGAACAACTATACTTGGGGCTCCTGGGTGGCTCAGTCATTAAGCGTCTGCCTTCGGCTCAGGTCATGATCCCGGGGTCCTGGGATCGAGTCCCGCATCGGGCTCCCTGCTCCGCGGGAAGCCTGCTTCTCCCTCTCCCACTGCCTCTCCCTGCTCATGCTCTCTCTCTATATCTCTGTGTCTCAAGTGAATAAATTTAAAAAAAAAATTTTTTTTTTAAAAAAAGAAGGAACAACTATACTCCTCCTAAACACAAGGAAAGGCCTGCATCCCCGCCCACGGGCCAGTAGCACGTGGCTGGGAGACGCGGGTGCTCCTGATGCAGGCAGAACACCCCTGTGTCTAGCCGACACTGTTAGACAAGAGAAACAAACAAAAGTACTGAAATGAATAGAAATGATGAGACAAATGCAAATTATTTGCAACTACACTCTTGGAAGTTTCCAGAAACATACTGAATTGCTCCAGCCTCTGTGGCCAGGAGGATGGCCCCGAGATGTGTCCACGTTCTGATCTAGGAGCTGGTGAGCGCGCTACCTCACACGGTAAGAAGCCCCAGGATGGGCCCAACACCCAATACCTGTAAGAGGGAGGTGGGAGGCCGGGGGCCGGAGTCAGAGAGACATGGGGTGAGAGCACCTGGGACGG